AGCGGGCCAAATCGGCTGCCAGGCCACTGGGAATTGTCCCGGTTCTCCCGATGGCCGGTCCGTGCCTGATTTCCACAGACACGCAGAATGTGCAGGATTCATATATTGTCTTTTTGCGGCTTAATATTCACAGACACTAGTCCATATCGCGTTTTGATTCAAGTGTACTGACCTACTTTTGATTTATTCGGCCAAAATGTGTCATATTCCGTCCACGTTAGGCTATAGGACTTCCGTTTTTATGACTGGATTCTACGAACCAGTCTGTGTTTTCCGCATCGCGGAAATTATGTCTCAGAGTAATCAGTGCAATTTGGGAAAGAAATCAATTAAATCTGTATGTGGATGTGTGTAAATATTCAAATGTATTCCCCTTTGTAATCGTTAACATTTTCATAAGTAACTGTAATTTAATTACACATTTTTTCTTAGTAACTGTAACTGATTACAGTTACATTTATTTTGTAATTAAATTACGTAACGCCGTTACATGTAACTAGTTACTCCCCAACACTGCTCCCATGCTTCTGGTTGGTTGTTATACTGGGGAGCCCTAAAAACCCATTCCCACAACTAATCCTTAGCATACCATAGTAGAGAAAACCAAGGGAGTCGTGATAGTTTGCAGTTAATAGTTGAAATGGTTTTTGAGTTAACTTGAAACAGTCTCCATACCTCAGATGTTGTTGTGATTCTTTCTAGGAATCTAAAAGAGTGTTGACTCAAAGGTGAATAGGCCAGACACTGCCTCTGTGCTGAAATGACTTAAGGTGATGAAAACTGGTCTTTTTTTTACACAAGCACTGATGTGTCATGTTTGCTGACAGCTACTAAAGCGAGTCTTCTCATTTCACCAGAATAAAGCCTTTGAGCACAGAGCCTCGCAGGTATAAGAAAGCTGCCGGTATTAATTATGTGAACTCTTACACTCATTCTGTGCGCTTTTCCCTCATATCACTTAATAAAATTGTCATTTTGGATTAATACAGCAAATACACCTCTCCCCAAAGTAAGGAGGTCATGCAGTTGCTCCATGATACACAATAAAGGCGGGTTCCCTCAAGTTAATGTGCAGTAAGGTAATGCGTAGTGAGTGTCTGTGATCATAGGGAACAAGGATTCATCAGTACATCACAAGAAGTGACAATAATTTACCCACCAGTCATTGCACATCAATCCAGAACTGCTAGAATAGGCTCAAATAAACAGTGAAAAGTTAGTCAGACTCCAGTGTTTTTATTGAGTTTAATTAGTTCCTGGTGTGGTTCATTCATGGCTAAATAACTGTGATGCAACAGTTATAATACAGCTATTATGATTATAGGCAGTGTTGGGAAGGTTACTTTGGAAATGTAATAGAAGGAAAAAATCAATTAAATCTGTATGTAGATGTGTGTAAATATTCAAATGTAATCCCCTTTGTAATCGTTAACATTTTCATAAGTAACTGTAATTTAATTACACATTGTTTCTTAGTAACTGTAACTGATTACAGTTACATTTATTTTGTAATTAAATTACGTAACGCCATTACATGTAACTAGTTACTCCCCAACACTGATTATAGACCACATAAGAACACACATTTAGTATAACCAAATCATGTTATTTTCATATTAAAATCACAGCAGGCAATTATCACTCAATTTAGGCCTTTTGGATATGACAAATTACATTAATTTATAATAAAACAAGTAGCCCAGACATACATCATGCCCCCAACTCCTGTAGCATGTATAACTCAAATTGTGTCTGTGGTTGATGATGCAGCAGTGTTCAAATAAATGCCTTTAGTCAAGTGCAACTTCAACAGAAGGGATGATGCAAATAAGAATGCAGTTTAGGATTGTAGCACCACATAGCCTATTAAAAATTACTGTTTTTTATATTTATCATAATTGTACTACAAACGTTTTTAAATTTCTGAACAAAACTTTTTTTTTTCATTGTTATTTCCATCATAATGGATAAATTACAGTTTAGAAAGGGCCATTTTAAGACTTTCATTTTGAAGTGTTCAAAGACCAGAAGTTACCCAAGGACTCATCACCTTAAAGCAGCACTATGTAACTTTTGGCGCTCTAGCGGTTAATAAACAGAACTGCACACATCCCGCAAAAGAACATTCCAACCGGAGCTACTTCTCTAAGTTTATGTCTATGGCGATTCACGCAGGTATGTGTTACTCCGCAGCGGTGACGACCCGACCAGGCTACAATAGTCCAAATATAAGTACTTATTATAAGTGTACCGTAGTGATTCGGAATAAGACAAAAACGCGGTTTGGAAGATGAATTCATGATGTACTCGCTCATTATATACATTTAGCAAATTTTGAACACAGAAAAAGTTACATAGTGCTGCTTTAAATCAGTCTTAAATCCCAGGAATTAATTTATGAAGGTATGTGGTTAACAGATGTTTTCATGTTTTATTCTACAACATAAAATACATCAATACCACACTCATGAGTTGTTTTAAGCGTTAGTGTCTTGGAAAAAAAAGAAAGAAAAAAGGCAGTGGCTAAATAGAACTATAGAGGTTGTTGGGGACATTAAACACAATCATGCCGAACAGGAACAGCTTTTACAGCCTTTTTGTGTTTATGCTCATGCCCTTGTAAACTATTTTAGCTCAAACTTTTCAACTTTTACATTTTTAATAAAGACTGGAATATTTGTCAGAAGCTTAGTGGTGATGACATTTAATTCATATGAAAACGGTGCTTTATTTATAGCCAAACTTTTGGTATTTACATCTGGCAATTGCATTCAGCTTTTAAAATGTATAAATCATAAAAGTTGTTTTCATTTCTGAGGAATATTGTGATTACAAAAGATGTAAGAATCAAACTTTTGTTGGTTGCAGAGCCTATTTTCTGCAATAATCCAAAAGGCAATGGAAATGTCCTACTGCTTTTGTCGAGGGAACCGGGGGAATTACCTGACTAACCCATACTTACCAAAATAAAAGAAAATAAATTTTTAGCAGAACCAATTTTAGGTAGTAGACTAACAGTGTAAAGGCATGATGATCTCTGGGGTAGAAACACTGGGTTTCTTTATGCTTAGTTTAATAGAGCGTGTTTGGGTCTTCCTCCAATTCTATATCAGCCCTTGCTGTTTCCATTTTCTACAGTGGCTCTGAGGTAATCCAAATCAACATTAGCCCGTTAGATTTTTCTTTTCTTATTTTTATCATCAAACTCCTCCTAAGGTGTTTATGAGATCTTCATTAAATTTGGCTCAGACCATCTTTAGACCATGCTGACCAAAATTTATAAAAGCTTTTTGATGCATCAAACCATTCTCATGACCATTCAGGCTTTTTGAATAAACTGTTCTCACATAACACACCAACAATTTTATGGCAAGATGTCAAAAAAGCATGTAAAGCAATTGGGACACTGACATGAAACTTTGCATGTAACCATACCCTAAAATTGTCAACTTGGTAACAGTGCCACCTACTGTATAAATGAGTAATAGGCAATTGTATTGTAAGCATATTTAATTATATCTTTGAACCACTTTTGTAAAATTATTACCAGGATGTTACAGCCTATTAAATGTACTTGTTAACAGATCTGCCACTGTTGTGCTTGATTCCAAAAATCACACACGAATTGACAAGGAGTTTGTATAGTCCAACACTGGAAGCTGCTACAGTACACACGGACATCGGCTAACAAAAAGCTAACAAAAAGAGAAACAGATATATAGCAAGGCATGGTTTTAAATCTAAAAGCAAAATAATACAGCTGTGCATGAAAACAGAATTGTATCTCCTTAAGAACAAAAGGCACAATAAAAGGCCCTGAGGTAATGAGGCCACAATGGTTTTACGTCCAAAATACTACTAATTCCATGTTTTCAATCCTTGAATTCAAGTGCAACCGTATAGCCATTCATCAATATATACTGCTAAGGCAAATCAGTTATTCTGAGGCATTTACCCCAAATCATTCAGGAAAAAAAAAAAAAAACTCTTGTCTAATAACAAAAACGACTTGACTTAGGAAAAAGTGAGTGCAGGACATGGACTGCTGTTCTGTATAGATTAGCTCTGATTAAATTAATCTTTACAATTTTGTGTACTTGAGTACTGCAGTTTAAAAAGAATCTAGAGACAACAAAAGTGAATTAAATTCATAACACACACTCATTAAATAATTAAAAACAAAATGTTCATTAAAAGAACAATGACATTGTCTTACATTACCACTGCCCAAACCGTTTCCATTTCTAAAACTACCACAAAACAACTGACTGTCTTTAGGCTTAGTTCAAATCCTGAAGGTCTAAAAAGCAGTCACTCACTACAATAATTTCAAGAGCAATGTCTTTTAAGTGTGTAAGACAGTCAGCAACTAAAATAAAACAAGCCATTAAAATGGGTGAATAAATCATTTTTCCTCTATTATAATCACCTTTTTGTTAAAAGTATAATTTTAAGCATTTTTCATTTTTGAGATTATGAGATAATTTTCCCTTTCCTGCCCCTCTCTATTCTTCCCTATTACAGTACAAATGTGCAACATGCAAAAAAGTAAAAGAAAGACGAAAGACAGCACAAATTAAAATCTAAATTAGAAAATAAATGGACGTACTGTATTATTTGGTCTGTAGAGAACAACATTTTCATAAAGTAAAAGAAAAAACAGTCAGTTTAATGTAGCCCTGTATTTAGATTTGGCACTCTTCTTTTTTTACAGGAAGAGGATTGCACTGGAATAAGTGAGAGCAGACTATAAGAGTGAGAAGAGAAGAGAGGAGCTGCTAGAAGCTGAGAGATGGACGAGGGGATGAAATACACTGTACAGCTTCACCAATAAATTAGGTACTCCTGATGTGGTAGATATGGTGCAACATCAAGATGCAGAGGAGAAAAAAAAAGATGACCTGAAAAGTCCTGAGGGTGTGTAAAAGTTGAGTGAAATGTATCAGATAATGGCATTAGTGCCACGAAGGCCGACCCCACGGGCAAACTGCTCCAGCAGGCCTGAGATGGCACCGGAGGGGCTTGGAGACGATGACTTGAGTCCTACTGTAGAGCTATAGGCTGCAAGGAACAATTCCCTCACTGCCTCCAACCTCACTTGCCTGTCAGGTACAAATGTGCACCTAGACATAGAGAAAAAAAAGACCAAAAAAATGCATTTGTCGTCATATTCTCTCCCTTCACTTAAATCACCACATTTTTTGTGCCTTCCTCAAACACAGCTCAATATATATATTAAAAAATTCTTCACATGTCTTTAGACCTTACAATATCATGAATGAACATAGCAGATGTATTTCTGGTTTTAAAAAAGTAATATTTCAAAAATCAGATCAAAATATGAGAAATAAGTTATAAAGTAAGTAAAACTCAAATTAAATGACGACAACTAGTTCCATTTAGGATTGCACAAAAAGGGCAATTTCTGGAATGTCTGTCTGGTTCTTTCTCTGGAATAAAATCAGTTCCCTACATAATGACTGACGTGTGTGAATACTAATAATAGCATGGTGCTGATGAAAAACAATAATTTTTTGGTCTCTTAGTTTTTGGATTCAACAAAATTCTTCACGTTGCAATGATGAAGCTGCTGCCTATTCCGTGAATGCAGCCTATTCCTATTGTGATAATCATGGCTATTGTAAAAACAATATTACTCATTCAGTCTCAATTTTACAACTTTATTGTCAAATTACAAGAATACAGTGAATGAGTTTAGGTGGAGTTGGATTGTGTATGAGACTCACATTTGTCCGCTGGGACCCTCATCCTGGAAGCTGAATGGCAGAGGAGACTCTGAGGGCACTGGGGGAAGATCGTGGATGCTCCCACATCCTGAGACAATCTGCCAACTGCCATAATCTGTGGACAGCGAGGAGCCTGACCGAGCATATTCCACTCTTGGCCTGAGATTCAGAGAGAGATTCAAAGTATTAGAGCAAGAAAAAAACAGACAAAAGCACTACAAAATAAACTTTGCAAGTACTCACCTCCTTCCTGGTACAGCTAATGGGGTACTTCCTGTCCGTGTAACATTTTGATCTGAGTGGTTGGATGAGGAGGAGCTTGAGGACTTAAAAGACCCCAGAGGACTGGCCTCAGTGATTATATTAGGCATTCGCTCCTCTGAAGCAAGCGGTCGGTTCCAATGCACAGAATGAGAAGACAACGGCATGCCTTTCCTCCTGTGATAAACACTAAATAAGTCAACAACATTCAAAGCAGCAATTGTCAAGTGAAAAAAACGCTTATTCACATATTAAATGTGAACAAGAAACTGAAAATAATGACATGGTACGCTAATATATTTTCTCCACTTTCTGTGGCTAGATATATACATGTTGACAGTATCTGAGTGCTGTTCCTACAGAGGACAGGTCGCGTATATCTTATGATTGGCCAGTGGGCATGACTGTGTAACCAGTCTCTGTCTGGCTAACTGACTAATCCTGCCAGTAACATGTACTTGTCTTACACAGGTGCAATTAAAGGTGCCCGTTTACTTCTTATTTTGTAAGCCTTACCCATTAGAAGCCTGTGGTCCACTGGTAGTCAGGTCTGTGGCTTCTGCATGTAGACTGGAGGGAGCAGGTGTATCTTCTGTGATGAGAGAGAAATCACTGCTCAAACTCGTCACACTACCCCGATCTCTGGACTCTGACAGAAACAGAGAAAGAAAGAAATCATTAGCATAAAGGTTTGAGATCTGCTGCTTGACTACTGTAGTCAGAATATTCACTGAATCACTCATTTTAATGAAAGTTCATTCTAAAAAATGGCAGAAATTTAGAGAGAGAGAAAACAGAACTTACTTAACTGGCAGAGGTCATCAACTGTGAAGTCAGCATCTTTGAACTGAGAATTTTTTATTCTGTTACAGTAATCATAATAATAAAAAAGAAACAGACATTAATACAGTCAAAAGCTGCAAATATCTGGGTCCAACAGCACTTAGAAATTTAGCAGAACAAAATACATTTGTCACCAAATTTATTATATCAAACTTTTCTCAATGAAAGTATGAAACCATCACAGAACCTATGAAGATGTTGAACTTACAGCTTGTCCTATTAGTGGAATTTGGTGAATTTTTGAGTAAAATAAATTAACTGGAATTTAATTGGAACTGTAAACGATTTGATGAATCAAAACTTTGTGTTTATCTCTAGATAATACATACAAAATTTCATACCAATCAAACAAATGATCTGTGAGGAATTAGGTTTTTATTTTAATTTATCCAATCTAAAATGGTGAAAACTTGAATCACAGAAAAATAAATCCATACTGCCATTTGATTCAGAGATACAGACAGATTGAGAGGAACAATAAGCCCTTTTCCAAAATCAAGCTGGTGCACACATGAAATTTTGTGAAAACTGGGTATTTTGTTCATATGTTATAGATGTTTGGGGTCATTAGGCAATGCTTATATAATGACTGATGGTCATGTAAAAGTCACGGCGAATTCAAAGTTCAACATGTATTTGATAATTATTGACCTATGGACTCCAAATAATCTTCCAGCCCCTTTTTTTTTTTTTTTGGCAAAAATCCAAGGACTAGTTTGCAAAAAAAAACAAAAAAAAACTGATTGCCTCAGGAAACATTTCTGTCAATGCAAAGTTGTTCAGAGTGAGAAGGCCTATAATCGAGATGTACAATGACAAAGGCCTGGAATTCCAATGATACAGTATAAGGCTGAGTCTGTGACAAACACTTGAGAAGTTACAGGCCTAAATGCTTTATTGCCAAATTAAAAGTTTATTTTTTTAAATTACTGATCTAGGGATTGAAAAGAATATTTGCAATGTTTTTGATGGGATTTAAAAAAAAATTAAAAAAAATAAAATAGAAATAGTTGGCAAAAGTACTTTATGCAATCTTTAGTAGTTTATAAAAGGTTTAACCAACACCACTGGTTCTTGAGGCAAAAGATCCTCTGCAGTATATAAAACCATTTGCTCGGATGTAACATATTTCCAGTGGATGATCCCCCACCCCACACAATTTCCAGAGACCTACACGAATCAAATAAGTCAACCAATGGCTCTGTAACAGAATTTAATGCTAAATTAAAAATGGCTGCAGCTTAACATGGCCAAAATAGGAACACTGGGTATCATTTGCTTCAGTATGCAACAAAGTATAAGACGAGACCAGTCTCATGACTTTAC